TTCAGGGTAACTAGGTTTTCAAACACTCGATAGTTTCCATAGTGATGTCTGTGCGATGCGGCCAGTGCCAACTTGTGCACACGCTGGTATCGCGAATAACTATACAATAATGCGGATGATCGTGATTTGAAGATAAAGACAGAACAAACACTTTATGAAAGCACACACGTGCTGTTTGCAAAGACGACAAATGTAAATATCATCAGTTTGTACAATAACATAGACAAGGCATCATGAGCCATAAATCCATCACATCCGGGCACTTGCATATGAGAGTTTAACAATTGTGGACGTGTTGTTCCGAATGTTAAATTATACAAATATATCTGTTGTCATTTAATTGTATCGTTTTACCACATACGTTTGTATACTAGTCCGCAATATATATATATATATATATAAAATAATCGTTGACTTGAAATGTTTTTGTTTTTTCTTCACGTTGTGCGCGTTGGCGTTTTTATTCGAACACTTCGAAGTCAGAAGACATTCTGTGAATCGATGATAACATATGGCGTAATCAAGTGATGTATCACTTGCAATTAACGTTTTATAAATATATTGTTCTTATGACATAGTACAGGACTAGCCATGCGTTACCTGTGCAAAAGGGGGGCAGTGATTGAGTACAATATTGCACGATGAGGCCCTGGGGGTCGCTTTCATCTCTGAAAACAAACAGAAGAATGGAATATCCGGGGAGACTTCAACCGTGAATTCTGTAAAGTATCCTTGGATACAAAATTTCGTTCAGCGAATTGTGTCATCATTATCACGAGCGTACCCACTCACAGTACGAATCTACCCATACTACGATCATTGTCATCGTAATCATAATCATAATCATCATTATCATTTAGTTTGCGGCACCTGCGTTTCTCAAATCCCTTTTATATTACTTTCAGAGTACTAGTATTATGAAAAATCACCAGTCGATTTTATTTCAATTTGGCCAATGATAACTTCGAAGATAGAAAACAGCCTGAAACCGCTGGATTGCCGCTGAGGATTTGGATACCGTAAAAAAACGTATCAACCAGTTTGATCGACAAATGCATGTTTATCCCATTAATAACAAGTCGCAAAAAGACTACTATTAAACCTCAAAATTGTGTTGTCTTTCGAGGGTGATTTGAACATAATTGACTCAGATAATTGAACATATCTACACCTTTATTGAACAGTTAATCACGACGCACGTATTCGTACAGAGTGTCACTGGTTGCCGTATTTCTCAATCAGCGAAGGTTTCTGTTCCTGGACGTTGTTTTTCTAGTATGAGTACTGGAACGATTCACGCAGGACAACAAAAAAACATTAAAAAAATAACCTAAAATTATAAATTGTATTTGGTAACGTAATAAAGAATGTGACAATGCAGATACATGCTCAACAAAATTGAAGATGGGAACAATGTAACAAACACTCGTATTAATAATTTTAGTGAAGCCTGAGTGGGTGTCTGACACAGCACAGAAAAAACGAAATAATAATAACAAACAAAATGTATGCTCGGAATCTGAATTACATTTTAATGCACATTTGTTGAGTCATATAAAACAACTGTGATAAGATGACAATAAGTGGGTTTCAGTACTACGTGATATTTATTCATCTGAGTACGTGATCGAATCCGACATTTGTATTCAGCCTCGTTCGCAGCTAGTCGTGTCATCATTAATAATCTGTATATATCTATACTACCGTGGAATGGCAGATACATGTTTGATTTGAAAGTACTGCACAAACCTGTACAATGTGTCACTTGTTACACCGCAATGGAACGTGCCTTCATCTGCGTTAATGGCATAATCGCTCATCAGAAACGACATTGAACGTGCACAGTGTACACATCTTGAATTTTCAAGGTGAATGTTCCGGCAACAACACCGTGCAGGCGGACGATGAGTGTACACAACATGAAACGTTAGAGGTGGATCAAAACTATTCTCGGAAAGATTTTTTTGTTCATCGTCAGTACGGACGGGGGGGGGGGTGTTTGACCCATAGCACGGCGATTTGCGTCTTATTGGTAAATTTACAGTCTTGTAAATTTTCTATTTCTCGTGATAACTGTTTTATTATTTTATTCTGTAATTCACCAGGTCTCAAAACAAACCCGTTATTAAACAAACAGTGTTAATAACTTTGATAAATGACAGCAACACGAGCTCGTGTACCATGCCAACCAATTCAATGGAACAAGCTCTGGTGGCGAATGTAGTATCACTGTCACGTGACCAGGAAGTATCAACAATGGTACCCATAATAAAATTAAACAAACAAAGAATATTCAAAATAAGGTATACAATTGGATTCGATGACGTAACAATCCGTAAAACAAAATTGATGTTTACGAGACGAAATAAAATGGCACGCTCAGAATAGCCTGAAATGTACAATATTTGGACAAGGGAAACATTGATCAACGCGTGATTACCATGATAAAATTAATTCCTAATCCACGTGTGTTAGATTATGATTAGATTACATGGCTCATGTCCTGTGGATTAGGTTGAAATTTAATCACATTTGTAGATACGCCGACGCTACTATATTTCAGGTGACGTTGTTAGTTTGTTAAAAAATTATTTTTTACACACGCCGATCATGCGCACTGGAATCAGCTGTTGATATCTACCTCGGAGCCACGAGGTCAATATAAGAAAATTAGAAATGAAGACACACACACAAAAGGACAAAAACATTTAATCCGGAAAAAAGAAATGGCAGATATTTGTACAGTAATGTTATGTGTGTGATCTTCACCGGAAATCGCGTATGCATCTAGAGTGATTTATTTTACTTTTGACTATGGGACTATTAATAAAAAATATAAAAAAAACACTAACCGCTGTAGAAAGAGCCACCTTAGATATTGATGGAAATCCAATCGGCGTCGAAAACAATATGGAGGCTGCGGTTGTCGTGGTAACGGCAACACAAAGCACTGAGGTTCAGTAGATTTGAATGCGAGGCTAGAACGAGGAAATAAAATATCATTACGTTCACGCACATAGATATGTCTTATAAGCAACCGTAATTGCAACCTGAGTTAGTGCACGCAGACCTGTTACATCAATCGCCATCTTACCAAGGATGTTCAGGTTGTTGTTGTCTTATTTCATTAGTGGCTGACTCCTCTAAAATTGAGAGAAATGACATCATTGGACCGAGATCGCGAATGACATGATTAAGTCCACTGAATTATCACACGATGAAAAACACACATCACTTGTGCGGGTCGGTTACACACTTATACAATGGTCACCAAACAATATAAATGGGGGTTTTGTTTGATTTTCCTGACATTTTCTTTATATGACACCTTTTCTTAATATATAACTAAGCCGCTAAGAATAATATTATTCACCCGAAACTGATGGACTACGAAGGCTAACCATCTCGCTATTAACCCTGACATTGCGTTACCGGCAGGCAGACTTTGCACGCGCACAACACCGTTACAATGGAAGACAATCAGATTCCCTCATTGCAGCATAATAATTACATACAGTCCATTTGGTACATCATCATCGATGCCATTAATGAGAGACGCCTACATGACGGCTGTCAAGGGCAAAACTGAGCATAAACACGTTTCTGTTTTAAGTCTCACCCCGGAAGAAATTGAATCCCTGATCGGTTACTGTGCCCCTAAACAGCAAAACAATTCCCACTTTCTCTTTCACCCATTTCTCAAATAATCAGCAAATATATACATGTATATATAATTAAATGTCGTGCCTGTCCGTGTCTTTGCCGGCATTAATTTCTTAAATAAACAATAATACATTTCACATAATATAATAAATATTCTTGTTTTCATTTGCAACGAAGCCTCACAGATACCCGTGACAAGTAGTTTTCTGCGTAAATGGGATAACATGTATGTTTTGTTTTGTTTTGTTTTTTGTGTTACTTATTTGTATCTTTTTTAAAGACGGTGATAATTAAACAACCAAGGCCTTGACTAATATAACATTAGCGATTTTATTTTTAGTATCAGGTATGAACTTATGAACTTGAAGCCACAGTCGGAGGGGATTTAAAATCGAGTCGTTTTCTGACACCAAACCATCAGTAAAGTATTCAAGATATATACCCTGTAACACGCCATCAAGCTGTGATTGAGTTCAACCCTGCGATGAACTAGTCATGATGAGATTTTAAAAACATTTGAAGCATCCTTCTTTTTCAAGGAACATTACATCGCCCGATGATTAATGTGCCCCCATTATGATTAATTAGACAATGGATAATATGTTGATCCACATAATCGAATATGAGAAAATGCATTTTTTAGGTTTTAAATATTTTCTAAGTCACACCCGTCTAGGGGCATTAAGGCTGAGACTCAACGCTTTATTTATTGTGTCAATATAATGTAAATTACCTCACAGAAGTTATATAGAAAAATAGAAATCGGCGATATGTTCCTACCTATATGCCTCCATCATTGGCAGTGTAAACTACAGTGACGTCACTGCATAGCAACCAATCAAATGAAAGCGAGAGCGTGAATGTCGGAACTCGTCCTGCGCATCTGAAAGGTGATATTCCTTGCAACGTGCTTATTGTCTAATCGCCAGCACCTGCCATTTGCCTGCGTTCAATCATTGTCATTCGGTCGATTTGCCGATCCAAGTATTTTAACTTTCTACCGATACTCCACCCTACAAGAAAAGAGATTAACGGCAATCATGCCGCAGCTGGATCAACATATATCGGCGCATGCGCCGTGCTGCTGAGAGTACCTGCTTTCTCCGTCTGACTCATGAATAATTGACGTCTTATATGTTCGTTCTTTGGTTCGCACAATTACAGCTGCAATGGAGGAGACTCTCTCGGCGTAAACTGATGCAGCGTCGGATCGACATCGTTTAACGGAATTACACCGCTATACAATATGGAAAATACGACTTCCTGGTCTCATTCGCTTCACACTGCCGAAATAAGGGATATTTTTTAAATTTTAACGGATTTACAAGGCAACCAGTATGCCTACAGGAAGAAGGGGACTAGTGGCCCCACAGAACACATTTGTTGAAAGTATCATACGCCGATCCAATGTACAACGTAAGTACAGTTATCTGTGTTGACATTTATTTTTCAGGACAAAAACGGGACAGAGACATGAGTGGAATATATATATATATATATATATATATATATATATATATATATATCTATATATTTATACATGCACATCCCATATTAGTTCCTATATCATTATAGATACAATTATTATCCCCTCCAAAAAATGACGATAACAGTAAACATGTTATTGATTCAAGGCGTTCGACCTTGTTTAGATGCTTGTTTACGGAGTCGTTTTTGTTGGCATTCGAAATATACATCGATGTAAATGTAGTTTATTTTGACTATTGCCATACAACATTACACATTCGTCTTATTTCATGGACAATGTCGATCGGCGGATGGATTTGAGAACAACCTTTCGATCAACTAAGACTGCCATGCAATAATCCCTCCTTATTTCACGTCTAGCTTCCAGTCATTGCGAACGGAATTGCAGTATTCCAGGTTCTGTCGGCTATCCGTCTGGCGGAGTGCGTTTTATGTGATGGGTACATCTGTCATCAAAATTAACAACAATCTTCTGGTTTAATCATGTAAGAGAAAGAGTAAATTCGAATATTATGGAGTGACGGAACCCATCCTAATTATAAACGAGGTGCTTATAATGAAGAAGAGTGTGGACACAACGATGAGTAAAAAAGATCCGACGCAATCTAAAATTATATAAAAAGAGAGAAAAAAAACGCACACACGTTTAGCTTGGTGCGTTCAGTTCTAACGTAAAATGGCTGTCATAAAATGCACTGCGTGTTGACATACCTCCCTAGTAGATTATCCGCAATTTTAAATCCAAATATTGTGTCAGTTTATATTTGTTACTCTCTCTAGTAAACTGTTAAATATGGTGAATTTAAAATAAAAAGACATTACTAATAACCTCATTACGAACGCGTGGTCTGAATAGTATAACAACATACAACTAAGCGATAATGCATTTAACACGCAGTGTAAAAGAAGCGCATGAAAAGCTTTGATATTCATAATTATGTCCAGTGCATTTTAAATGTCAGGGTGTACTTTCGCATGCTTAATGTTCCAACTAATTTATGACTATGTCGTAGAAAAATTATATAAATAATGAATGTTTTTCGTAAGGTGAGTTGTCTATGATTATGCATTGTGTTGTCGCTTTCTTTTCAAGAAAAGATTAAATATAAATATACGCTACTTCTGAAAATATTACCAAAATCTTTATTCCAGACTTGTTTTTATTCAAGTTATTATTTTTCTAATTATTATTATCACAGGGTCTCAGATACAATTGAAAACAGACAAGCTTGAAATGCACACGCATATCGTGGCCCCCGAAGTCATGTTTTTTTTTTGCGACGACATACTGATGACGCTTGTCGAGTATTGCAGCGAACTCTCCGAACTCTCTTCCCCTATGTGGACTGCACTGAAGTGACTCGCATTTAATTCACCCCAGCCCGGTGTGTGTTTACTAAACTAACCGCTTTTAATGTAATAATTGTTACTGAACACTTAACACACTTCAATATTTACAATATCAAATATGATTTTTTTTTTCAAGTAGAACAGCTACTTCAGTATCGAATACCCACCAAAAAACAAAACGCAGAAATAAAACAGTCCGAATTAAATATTTGAACACTTGAAAGCTGTATCAAAATATAGTAATGTTGAAAGTCACTTATTTCCACGAGAGGGCTACTCTTAGTACAAACCAAAACGATCAGTACGTAATTTATCAAATCTCTGCATAATACCACTAAATAGATCGGCTCTGTTGTTTATTATAGTTACCCCCCCCCCCGTTTAGCCTTATTTCTCGCTAACATAAATAGGTGTGATACAATTACAAACACGTACGATGTCCCCTTTAGATGACAGTCATTCATTGAGTATATATTTTGTGCACAGGGAGACAACGAATAAAGTGCATTGCGTAAAGGAATATATTCAATACAATTTCACTCGTATTTCTAAAATAATTTCTTTTCCTTTGTGACATCACCGCGATATTACAATTCGATCTATTCGTTTTCTCTCATGGTGGTTAATTATTGTATTAATTTGTACGCGGGGGAGAGAATGGAAACAGGAAAGCGAGAGAAAGAAAACAGTTCGTTCCATCATGGCGGAGATGGACAGCGCTGTTTCACGAACCAACATGGCGCGTTCTTAGCAACGGTATAATGAACGGATTGTACAAGTAATGGTTACATTCAGTGTAGAGCTTGGCTCATATTTAAGACGTTCTACACGTATGTGGAATGTATTTTTTTTTTAGATTATGACGCGGAGATTTTATGGGCACCGCGTGACAAGATTATCGACAATATCTCTAAAAATCTGTAATCTTTTACGCGAGCCATATGAATCCACGAGATGCGTCGGTTCCCCGTATCTTCTTCCCGTATTGTATGCATATGTACGATATCAACGTAACCCTTTAGGGAGGCTTTATACGCATCTAGCTTGACCGAGAATTATTTCTCTCGTTTAAAGTCAGATTTAACGCTATAGCTCATACCCGTCGCCTAGCGTTGCTACTGAATTGTATGTAAAGCCAAAGTACCTTTTTAATATTATCTCCACCACACGAGTCAACGCTATCGATCCACACGCCGTGTCGAAACGCCATATTGGTTTGTAACTATGGCGTAATAATAGACAGGGTATCGCCATGACAATTGTCATGTTCTGTGACTGATACTAAAACAACAATCAAGTGTGAATTTATTTCGATAATTCTGTTTGCAATTGACGATGCTAGAATTTAACGTGTTTGTGTACAATGCCGCCATTTTCAATAAATACATTTCTGAAAGGTTGCGTGTACGTGATAATATAGACTCTGAATTGCACAGCGAATTAAACAAATTGAATAATACCCAGATCCATATATTATCCAGTAACACACAGACTAAAATACAACATTTCTTTAGCGCTAGAATGTTCGGTTATTTTCCTTATGTCCGGAATGTCCCCGTGACATGACGGTAAGTAATACACGTTCCGCAATTGAAACTCAAAACGAAACAACGCGGAAACACCAGCGGCATTAGGAAAAGAAGACGATGTCACACACATCATGGCGTAAACAAACAAAAAAAGGGAAGAAACACACTAAAATTATACTTTTAAAATATTGAAACTGTAACATCGCCGATAATTTAGGCGTTAAATAATTATTTTCACTGCATTACGTTCAAAGGACTAAATCTATGTTCACCCGCACTTACTGCTCCAATTAGAGCGTTCATTCAAACCGAAGTAAAATACAATATTGGCGATTATACTGTCATCTTAATCGTCTGATTCTTCTTGCCTTCGGATACCTCGTTGTTAGGGGGTAATAATGCGATGCATAGCCTCTGGACAATAATGATACACTATTCAGAACACGTTATAGCGATGAAGATACACTGCGCACGGCTCTATGTGTTGCGTAATGTAGCTACCTCACCTGTCTATACTTTATACTTTAACATTTGATTGTTAAGCTTCAGCTCTCGATTATCATTATTTTGCCTACGTTTGGTGAAATGTTTTGTTTGAATTTATCTGCGTTGGTTGTACATACTCGCAGCACATATTGCGCCACATGCTCAGATTTTGACACACGTAATATTGTGAAAGCAGGATAATGGATAATATTCTAACGCATTTCTTGCCTTGGCCTTCTCACTAATTGCAACCATCTAAATGAAGCCTTCAATTATCTGTAGTCATGTAATGCATCGTGCTGAATATATCACATGAAAAAAAAAAACGAAAAAAAAAAAACGTACATCTCGGCGTAATTTCGTATTAAATTATTTTCACTTATTAGGAGGATACAAACGTGGTATAAAAGAGAAGTCAATTAGCGAGTAGACAATCGGTTACTGGTGCATTGTTGGTACGCGTTTTAAATAAATAATGAGCGTACCGTAATCATATTATCAACCTTATTTTTTTTAATGAACTCGCTGTCATTGTCACATAGACTCACGCTGTCCTTACAAATAAACTGATATTAGAGGAAGAAGTGGTGGAGGGGGGGGGGGGTAATTTGAGTATAAAAACCTAAGCTTGGAAATGTAAATTTTTGAATATCTTTATTGATATTTCACTCCCTACTCCGGAACCTCCCATCATTCAGACAATTTTACTCGTTCCGCTCGTCGCTTGATATTCTATGTTTTGTCTTTTATAAACCGCCGACTCCTTACTAAATAGCAGCAGTCCTTCGTGGCATTGGATCTAATATCTCAGAACGCCGGAAACGGACTACCAGATCTGTGCTACATTTCTGCATGTATGCGCGCGCGAGCGTACGTGTATATTCCTCTCTGAAACCCCACAAATCATACACAACACGTTATAGTTAAAAATACATAGTATATATATATATATAAACACGTATATCTCAAAAACACCGATGTCATTTTTTTTCAATTTATCGTCTAGTTCTTTGTGATACGGTAATCAGATCTCTGACTTCAGGAAATAATACGGCAGATATGCGATATCACTCGGCCCCAGATTTCAATCATATGGGGGCTATCTTCCATTTAAAGCTGTTATTACAAGATAAGAATATATAGATATTGAGCGATGTTATTTTCGCTGATAAAAATTAAAAAAACGATGGCCCAGATAGTCATTTCTAACTCCACGGAAATACTAACCAATTTTACGGTTGCTTAGCAACTAGTTGACGATGCGGCGTGTCATTAGAGGCCCCGTTCTACAGTAGAGATAGAGGGAGGGAGAATATAAATAATGTGAGAAGGCCGGCAATCGTGAGGAGAAAGTGCCCGGGTGAACAAAACAGATAATGGAATATTTTCGCCATGCTATCAAGTTTATACAAATCGCCGGTAATAAAGACAATTCTATATTTTTCTAGTAGTTATTCATTAAATGGTTACAAATACAACAAAATGGCCGTATATACGTCGCAAATTTTCGCTATATTCCCGCCCCGTTCAATTGAGACTGTAATTCATGTCGTCAAACCCCTC